ATAGTATGATGATGAAGAGAATTATGGAGATGAGTAGAGGGAGGGAAGATGATGTCTACATCATGGGGGATACTGAATAGACATGACATGGGCCCTTTCTACTCCTCTTTTCTTCAACTTTCATTTTATTCTTCTTTTTCAATTAGTGTCCGTTTACCTTGCATTAACATTTAAGTCTTTGTTTTTATTTTTTATTTTCCCTATATACATACAATAATTGTATATATGTCAGTTGTCTATCAGTACTTGATCCAATATTGCTACTAGTCTTAACATGTGTACCATTTTATGATTAAGTTAATGGCACTAATATATACTTCCTTTCTACTACAGCTTTGCGCTTATGATTAAGGATAAGAGTACGACTCGTGATAAAAAATTTCACTATCCAAACACGCCTCCAGCTTGGTTCATGTACTAATTCCGTAGTTTTCTCACGACCAATCACTGAGAATATGAAATCGATTGTCATTTTTTCTTTTGATGAAAGTGGAAATCATTTTTATAAGATTTGAATCCAAGCACACTTCATTTAAATATAAGACTCGTTATCTCTAGGGTAACATATTTTAGTCAAGCCAATTGTCAATTACAAATAGGATAACAAAAATATTTTGTTTTATTAGATATGAGTAAGGTACTAATATTTTGTTGAACACATAATTTGTTTATTTTAAAATGTAAAGTGACTTATAAATAAGAGCATTTAGTTCAAATGTCATATTATCTTTATTAGTAAAATTTAATAGGCTCGAATGTAATTTTTATTCACCAATTACTATTTAACTTAATGATTAAAATGTTCATTTTTTACAAGGGATTATCAGCTTGAGTTGGAATGTACTCCTGTATATGTCGGTGTTTGAAAACTTTTATATTATTTCGTGATCAATGTGTATATACTACATAATTAATCAATATATGAATTTAATAAAAAAGTTCTACCCTTCTAAATGAATCAAATATTGAATTTGAGTTCTGTTCGAATGAGTGACAAAAATTACATTTTGTCATAGTCCCTACATAGATTTGTTAAAGGGAAATGAAGGAGGATTTTACTATGTAAATTTACTGTGATTAATAATGGTGGTAGTACTTAATATTTTAAATACTAATCAATGAGCTATTAATTGCTATCTAATTAATCAAGTGTGAAAATTTATTAGAGAAAGAAATTCCACGTGCTTACAAGTGAATTTTTTCGTCATATATGATCTTTGATTAATATATTCATCGGACATATTCTTTGGATTTGAAGGGAAGAGATGGGCATAAAAAAAAGTTAGATCAAGATTTTGTCCCATTATAACTACTATAAGTAAGAGAATATAACTGTTTTGAAATATTTCTTTCATGTAAGTACATCATGACTTATTAGAATTAACTTAATTTAATCACTATAACTTTATCAATACACTAATGAGTTAAGTTTTTAACTCGCTAAATTAAATATTATACATTAGTTACTGTCATATCATAATGTACCTATAAAATGAAAAGTTTTAAGTTCTCAATAAAATTTAAATTTATGACATCCAAATAAAGTGCAAGAATTTTAACTAGTAAATCATTATTTTACTGGTAGATATAAATTTTTATCGTTCAGGTGTAATTACAATTAGGTATAACATTTTGTAAAAACTAACAATTTAGTATCTCTATAAAAGCTAAAATAATAATTTCTTAATTAATATTTAGTAATGTGCATATTTTTAATTTCTCTTTATTTGTTTTTTATCATACAAAGAGAAATCTTTACGTTTTTTGAATTTTTCCAATCAACATTAGTTGTTTGAATTATTCTTATTAGAAAATTAGGAACAATCTTAATATGGAAGTAATAGGACAATATGCTTATTTTTCTACCCACGATTCTTAATTATTGATACTTTTTTTGTTTTCTTCTAAATACTACTAGAATTCTAAATAATCTTCACACCTTAAAACCCAAATTTATTTATGCTTTAACTCAACGTAAGAGAGAGAATTGTAATATATATATTTTTAAATGTTATCTGCTTTCTTAAGTGAATAAAAATAATTTTTTTTTTCTTTATATACTCACAAATAGTCATATTTTTTTACGATAAAGGTTTAATTCTTATAGTCTTACAAATAATCGTATTTTTTTTATAGTAAGTGTTGTGAACATTTCTAGTTTTATACAATATCTCTACTCGACCACACAAGTCATTCTAACTATAATATCCTACCACATCAATATATCTCTTATGCTTCATACAGGATATGAGATGTGCGACCAAAAGGTAACAAGTAGTGTTATATTAAGTCACCATCTAACTAATTTAACACTTTCATATTTAGAATACCCCAGATCATTTGAACATCATTGTTAAAATACATTGTCTCTCTATGATGTCAGAAAGATTCTTCCTCAAAACGCTGAATTCTATTTTCATCATTTGATCTCCATGTAGTACATACATTTACTTTCATTTGAATTTTTATATGTTTTCCTTTATCATCAATTACAAAAAAGTTTTTGATAATAAATTAGGAAAAAATTTTAATTCTAGACTTTTACCCTTATTTCCTTTGTTTTTATATTAATTAATTAAAATGTCAACTA